GCAGAGGTTGTACATCTCATACAGCTCTAGAGTCCATGGTACAGCTCCCCCTCTACAGAAAAAGCTTTGAGCTTGGCCAAGTATTGTCAAAGCAAAAAGTTTAGTAGAATCCTCTTAAATAGCCAAGGACACAATGGTCATAAGTTACCAAATGAAACATGAGAAAAGACTGACCTCAATGCCACTGAGCAACACACGCAGGTTTTTGCCTAGATCAGAGTTTAATGCGAACTCACTCACTGCAAAGGTGAGTTCGCTGGCATGTCTGTGAAGGCAGGTGTGGTTGTCACAGGTGTGTAAGGACACAAACATGGATTGTCCAGATATTTACAACGATATTTGCCAACTTAACAGCCGGTCAACCAACTCAGGGCTACAAACCCGAGTCTCAATGAAGCCAGCAGTCTCTCTCCAAGTCAGGTGGGAGCAGATTGTGACTGTAGGAAACCTCTCCGAGGGGTGAGAGAGGACTCTGCTGTTAACAAGGGTATTGCCTTTTGAGCCAAGTTCATGATTCCAAAAGAACACTGCATCTGACTTCTCACAAAATGCCTTCGTTTTAATACAGTGCAATAGTTCCAACAGTGTCCACTTGGAACAATAGCAGCCAGAGACAAGACAAAGCAAGGGTCCAATCTCACGCTTAAGTATTTACAAAATTCTTTACACTAAAGGAAAAAATACTTTTAGGAACCATTCCCATGGGGTTTGGGAAAGGCATTTCATTCACTAGACATTATCAACAGTTGCTTAGTTCTGTGTTTACATCAAAGACGACATTATGCTTCATCACACACCCTAAGAACAATTAGCATCCATTTACATTTCTCGGAGGCTTCCCAAAAGCATTCAGGACTGTCAACGGAAACAAAGAGGGGTGACAGTATCCATGGATTCTCTTGTTTTGAGAGATGCACCCCTCTTCCCACATTCCCTCCCCCTTACATTCTGTACATGGCGCATACATACAAAGGGACCCAATAGAAACAGCAGCTCTATTATACTTGGTCTAATGTAGACTTCAAACGAATCAGCCATGACCCAGTGAGTCTGAGCCGCTCTCGTCGGCCTCTGCACTTAAAAATACAGGCAATGATGCTGGGTGGGAGGGTGAAGAGATGCCCAGGGAAGGCTCGTTACTAGAAGGAAAGGCTGGAATGTGTTTCAAGAGTCAATGGGCTGCTGCCAAGGACAAGCATGGGGCTCGTCACCTGTGCTGCTGCCAAGGATCAGTCACGCCAGCCTCCGGGTGGCAGCGGCTTCACAAAGGGTGGTTTTTGACCCCAGATGGTCCTGGTGGGGACATGACAGCAGGATACCTGCAGCAACTAACTGCTGGTGGCAGTGAAGGATACAGCTTTGGGCAGTTCCTAGCAGAGCCCAGGGCTTTGGGGGGTCCACTCCTGAGAGTTGGAGGAGTCTCTGGGAGCAGCAGTCTCCGCAGCTTGTTCGTGGTCAGCGACTGAGTGCACATTTGGAGTCTTCTTTGGAGAAGCTGCTACAGTTCTCTGGAGAATTCCAGAACAAACAACTCCCAGCCCAAACACGCTGGAGGTGAGCAGAGGAGGGTTTGCTGGTGTGTCGCTGGACACTGAAACTGAGGTTTCTCCCGCCTGGGATCTGCTCGAGAAAGGCTCTGACTTGTGCTGAACACCAAGCATGAGGTGTCCACCCCAGCGAGTAACAGCCCAGAGGCCAAGGCCATGCACCTGGCAATCAACACTGCATTTTGCTAAAAGTGGGATCTTAATTATACCTCCATCTGCACTCTGCACCATGACCTGGTGCGCGACATGCCTCTACACCAGCAACCCTCTACACCAGCGCTCAGAGACACCCTTAGCAGAAGCCACGAGCACGCACCAGGCCCGCCGAAGGAGGGAGAGAGAGGATACAGGGAGGCGGTGGGACATGACACGACTTGGAAGCCTGGGTTCTCACTGGGTTGTTCCGCTTGTTTGTTTTCAGTGACTGAGCGCACAACATGGCAGGAATAAGATCTGAATGGGCAGCTTTAAACAGGCCACAGCTTATAAGCAAACCTGTCAGCTACAGGGAAGCGAACAATGAAAATCTAGGTAGATACAGTCAATGTAACAGTGCAGCTTTCGTACTGCCCCAATGAACGCAAGGACGACAACTCCAGGCAGACTGCTGTTGAAACAGACACCATCAATTTCCAAGAGACCCCTAAGGAATTCTACAAACCCTTGTCCCCTGTCGCTCACTGTAGATCCAGGGCCAATGCAGCGGAACCTTCTAGGGAGGTAGCCCCCCCCCCCGACCCTAAAGGAAGTGGCTGTGTCGTCTCTACAGGAACTGACCACGATCTCCAGTCCAGTTCTGGAAACGGAGGCTCTCTCAAGGCCTAATCATATGAGCAGGTGGCATAAGAAGCCACTGACATCCAGGAGGCAGGAAATAGGAGTCCCACTGATGGAAGAAGAGTTTCTGCTGAGCTCAAGGGTCTGGTCTTCACTGCAACTGGACTCCCCCAGCTGGCCTGTGCCAGCAGACTCAGGCTTGTGGGGCTACCTGCAACATAGGTGTCAGGCTGCAGCGAAGGCCGGGCCTACAGCCCCGCCAAGTGGGAGAGTCCCAGAGATCGGGCTGCAGCCCAAGCCAGAACCTCTAGATTGCAATGAAAAAGTCCCCAGTGCAAGCCTGAGCCAGCTGGCACAGGGTCTGGCTGCAGGAGAGGCAGCCCCTGCCTTGCCTCTCCCATGCACTTAAGCCTCCCGTACGGGCAACTTGTAACAGACAAGACAAGGCCCAGGCCTCTCGCCTGTGCGGGAGCAGGGAGGACTTACAGCAGCAGTACCCCGCCACCACAAGGAGGAGCTGCAAGTCAGCACCGCCTGGCTGCTGTGTGCCATCTCATGGCTAAGCGAAGCCCAATCTGGCCTGAGTTAAAGGCTGCAGCCTGCAAAAAGCTTGAGCCTGGATTGTCCTGTCCGCCTCCGAGGCTCAGGTGCCACGGCACACAGCCTGTGCATGTCACATGCCCAATGCAGACACTTCCAGGAGCCAGGCTTCTCTCATGGCCTTCGGTATGGGGGCAGGGGGCCTGTCAGGTTCGGCTACAGAGAAACGTGTGACCCTTGGCCCCTGCGACTCCCTCCCTCACTTGGATCAGAGAGCAGCAGCAGCAGCATGTTCCTGGCTTTAAGCACCTCAATGGCCTGCAACTCCCAGCGGCAGGTCACTGCTGGGGAGGGAGAGGCCATTGGAACATCCCCCCAGATCTAGAGTTCTCCTCCCTCCATGCAGGGAGGAAGGCAGCAGTCTGTGAGTATCGTCTGCCAGCATGCCAAGGCGGACACCCAGCCCACCTTGGAGCAGCCCATTCATGGGGAAGGCAGAGCACACCCACCTCCTCGGGCCAGAAGCTGGGCAAGCCAAGAAGCCAGGTCATTACAGCCAGCGGCTCTTTGCTTCCCCCATACAGATTCACAAGTTAATTGTAGAGGTCACTAGCTATTCCTCAATTCAGATCCAGTGGCATGTCTAGCTTGGATTGCTTCAGTATGGGAGCAGGTCTAGTCAATGGCCTTTAATACACTGCACTTACATAGCACCTTTCAGCTGAGGGGCCAAGTGCTTCCACCAAGATGGGCATTACCCGCATTCACGTGTGGGAACGGAGGCACAGAGTGGCTATGTGACTTGCCCAAGGTCACCGAGTCAGACTCCTGACTCTCCGTCCTGCTGCCTGGGGGTAGACCATCCTGCACCCTCCTCAGGGAAGCTGGACCTGGACCTGGACCTGCCCTTCTCCCTGCCCCCGCCAAGCCAAGCCCACGCTCTCCCCTGGGAGGTTTCATACTCTTGATGAAACCCCACCATGCCTCTCCCATGCACTTAAGCCTCCCGTACGGGCAACTTGTAACAGACAAGACAAGGCCCAGGCCTCTCGCCTGTGCGGGAGCAGGGAGGACTTACAGCAGCAGTACCCCGCCACCACAAGGAGGAGCTGCAAGTCAGCACCGCCTGGCTGCTGTGTGCCATCTCATGGCTAAGCGAAGCCCAATCTGGCCTGAGTTAAAGGCTGCAGCCTGCAAAAAGCTTGAGCCTGGATTGTCCTGTCCGCCTCCGAGGCTCAGGTGCCACGGCACACAGCCTGTGCATGTCACATGCCCAATGCAGACACTTCCAGGAGCCAGGCTTCTCTCATGGCCTTCGGTATGGGGGCAGGGGGCCTGTCAGGTTCGGCTACAGAGAAACGTGTGACCCTTGGCCCCTGCGACTCCCTCCCTCACTTGGATCAGAGAGCAGCAGCAGCAGCATGTTCCTGGCTTTAAGCACCTCAATGGCCTGCAACTCCCAGCGGCAGGTCACTGCTGGGGAGGGAGAGGCCATTGGAACATCCCCCCAGATCTAGAGTTCTCCTCCCTCCATGCAGGGAGGAAGGCAGCAGTCTGTGAGTATCGTCTGCCAGCATGCCAAGGCGGACACCCAGCCCACCTTGGAGCAGCCCATTCATGGGGAAGGCAGAGCACACCCACCTCCTCGGGCCAGAAGCTGGGCAAGCCAAGAAGCCAGGTCATTACAGCCAGCGGCTCTTTGCTTCCCCCATACAGATTCACAAGTTAATTGTAGAGGTCACTAGCTATTCCTCAATTCAGATCCAGTGGCATGTCTAGCTTGGATTGCTTCAGTATGGGAGCAGGTCTAGTCAATGGCCTTTAATACACTGCACTTACATAGCACCTTTCAGCTGAGGGGCCAAGTGCTTCCACCAAGATGGGCATTACCCGCATTCACGTGTGGGAACGGAGGCACAGAGTGGCTATGTGACTTGCCCAAGGTCACCGAGTCAGACTCCTGACTCTCCGTCCTGCTGCCTGGGGGTAGACCATCCTGCACCCTCCTCAGGGAAGCTGGACCTGGACCTGGACCTGCCCTTCTCCCTGCCCCCGCCAAGCCAAGCCCACGCTCTCCCCTGGGAGGTTTCATACTCTTGATGAAACAGGTCACTAGAAATAAGACAACCCAAAAAGTGCAGTAAACTAAACATTAAAAAAGCACGTTTGTGCTGTGTCTGTGCAAAGATAAAGGAAATAAATACATGATTAAAACCGTAGAAAGGTTCACAGTATCACACACGGATCGGGAGCTGCAGGAGCGCCTCTCTGGACACAGCCCCAGGACTCTTTACACAGGAGCTCTGGAGGGAGGGCTCTTTGCTGTCCTTGGCTCAGGTAAGTATAAATACACGGTGCGCGCACTCCGCTCCAGCCCGAACGCAGCGCCCAGGAGCCGGCAGTGCAGCAAGCTCTTCCCCATCCCATCGGAACAGCCGCCTCAGCGAAAGGGACATCAGCTTGCAGAGGGAAACGCTGCTCTCTGGGACTTCAGGCTCTGCATAGAGATTACTGAAAGAGGCAAGGAGAGGGGTTAGTGTGCCAGGAGGGCTGCTGGGTTCAGTGAGCCTCACACAGTCAAGGCCCCGAAAGAGAGAAGCATGCGCACTTGGGACCCTCAGGTAAGAGGGCAGATCCAGAGGCTCTGGATCAGTGAGGCTTGACAGTACTAGGAACGATCAGCAGAGCCAGAGCTGAACCTGGTTTCTCACCGCACAGCAGCTCTTGCCTGCTGCCGAAGAGCCAATCTAAGATGCAGCAGGACTACCCCAGCCATGCGAGCCCAGGCCAAACCTCATGCTGGCGCTGCAGCCCGAGGTCAGAGCTTGCCCCTCTGGGCACCCATCAAAGCTTTCTCCAACACTTACTGTATCGCTCTCCTCATCGGAGACAGAGTGGACTTGAGTGCTATAGTGGAGAGGGGAGTAAACCCAACTCCTCTCGTCTGTGGGCTGCCAGAGAGGCCAGCGGCAGCAGGGATAGTGCAAGAAGAGCAGCGGCAGAGCAGGTGCGAGGGAGAGAAGAGGAGAAAATAAGAGTAGAAACATACAGTAAAAACAGCTGCACACCTGGAGGAAGAGAACTGATCTTACAATGCGACTCCGGAGAAGGAGCCTTCCCCATCCTCAATACATACCTGACCCCCAACAGCATCTGGGGCAGCTACTAGCAGTGCTGCTAAAATGGAAACCTCTGTTCTGCTATGGGGCAGGTGGCAACACTTTCCACTTCCACCTTCCGAGAGAGCTTCTCAAAGCCCCAGCCAGCCTCAGGTGACAGATGGGGAAACAGAGGCACAAAACACTAAGTGACTTGCCTAAGTCCCACAGCAGGTTAGTGGCAGAGCAAGAATTAGACCCCAGATCTCTGGACTTGCAGTGCTGCATTTTACGCACCAGCCCATCCCTTTCCCCACACCTTCATCTGAAGCTGCATCTGCCCATGTCAGACTTTCCTGCCACTGCAAAGTTAAGGAAGCTTTAGTGGCAAACCCAGCAGTATCGGGTCCCCCTCGTGCGGACGTGCCCAGCAGGCAGCGGGAGCGCAGGGTTAGAGCATGTTGGACCATGAAGAGGAGCTGGTTAGTCACCGGTTGGAGAGCAGGCGAAATGGAGACCAGGGATGGGGGATGACAAAGGAGGCGACAGAACTGGAATGTTTGGGGAAGGATCCAGAGACTGAGCTACCCCAGACCCGCGTCGATGCAACAGACGCCGCCTCGGGATGAACAGGGAGCGGCTCGCCATCGAACGCAAGGCAGGGCACACGGGACAGAGCCACTTCTATCACGAACCGCTTTGGTTTCTGCAGTGGGGTTGGGGCGAGAGGTTCTCGCCCATTTCCCTTTGAATGCCCAGCTGGGCTAAGGCCCAGGCACTTGGGCGAAGCAGGGCTGGAACGGAGTCTGCCCGGGGGAGGGGTGCGCTACGAAGCCCATGGCTAACATCGAACGCAAGGCAGGGCACACGGGACAGAGCCACTTCTATCACGAACCGCTTTGGTTTCTGCAGTGGGGTTGGGGCGAGAGGTTCTCGCCCATTTCCCTTTGAATGCCCAGCTGGGCTAAGGCCCAGGCACTTGGGCGAAGCAGGGCTGGAACGGAGTCTGCCCGGGGGAGGGGTGCGCTACGAAGCCCATGGCTAATTGCAGGTTGTGCCAGTAAGGAGCCCTGCAAGGGGGCCCCAGACTCCAGAGCTGAAGCCTTAAGTACTGTGCTAGGACCTCTGGAGCCCTCCCTCCACCCCCACTGTGCAGAGCCCACCCTGCTCAGATCCTTTATTCCCCGTGGCTGGTAATTACCGCTCTGGCTGAGCCCTGCTCTCCAGCCCCCACCTCCCCAGCCTTTCATGAGCACTGGAGGCGGGTGTTGGAGAAGGGTCTGTGTCTCCTGGTGACAGAAGCGTTCCGAGCGTGGGCTCCAGTTAACCCCTTCAGTGCTGGGGCGCCCTGAAACAGTAAACGGGGGCAAAATGGGATCACAAGCTCCCGGGGGTGGGGGAGACCAGATTTAAAGCTGCTCTCTGTTTTGCACCATTTTATTTCCTGTGGCTCCTGCCATGCACCATCTCACCGGCCCCATCTGCACCTTGCTGAACCAGGCTGTTACCACCTATGGCCTGCCTACTTGATGCCCCAGCCTCTCCACTTGGCAAAGGAAGGGCTGGGAAGATATCCCCCCCCTTAAGCTAACCCCTTGGACCCAGGGAAGGGAACATAGCTTCCTCCTCTGTAAACTTGGGGCAAACAAGGAGAAAGGAGACGCAACTCCCCCCGCGAGCCAGCCCGCCGGGGGCAGGGAAGGCACTAAACCCGACTGGAGCCCCCAGAGATTTTCCTCTGACAGGTACGAAGCTGCAGAAACTGGTCAGTGCATTAAACATCCAGAAATCAGCCCAAATCCTAAGGGCCACGATCCGTGTTTGTAGGTAGATTTTTATCATCAGCTTCCTACTGGCCAACTGGTGTCTCCTGGGAATCCAGCCTGTGTGTTCCAGCAGGGCCACGTGTAAGTTAACGGCAGACGTCTCCAAAGACGCTGGCACAACGGGTTAATAAAAGCAATTGGCTAAGTTCACTGGCCTAGGGAAAAAGGGGGCAGGAAGGAGGGCGACTACCTCGCACTCGACTCATTTCCAAAGATACTGAGGCACCCATGCTGATAAGGCCTAGCAGGTAACTCCCCAGGCTGTAGCGAGCGGCCTGAACTGTCGCACAGACACCCCACAAACCAGAGCTAGTCCCTGGAGCATCCAGGAGAGGGGGGACCATTCGGCCTTTGCTTGACCCCAGTGTTTCAGAGCTGCAGCCTGGCTCCCTTGCGTGCTAGCGTGTTCACTTACAGTCCCAGAGGAAAACGAGGCGGCTCGGAGTCTGCGCTGGTGGGGAGAGTAAATCCAGTACCTCCCATCTGTGAACTGGATGGCACCAGGGCAAGTGAGGTGAGAAAGGAAACAGAGGAGAAAGGATGAAATGAAAGAAAGGATGTAAGAGAAAGCAACCAAGGGGCTGGGCCCTCCAGGCCTGACAGGATCAGCTGGCTGGGGAGCCATGCGGGGGAGCAGGTGAGCCCCATGCCCAGCTACACTGCTCTGTGCCTCTACCCCAAGTGGGGGATCCGATGCAGCCTCACCCCCCGCAGTTACTGTCTTAAGCATCGGAAAAGCAGGTCCCCCGAAGGCGAGTATATGCTCCCGTGCAACTCAGCGACCTCTCCTGTGGCCGAAGGCTGCTTCTGAATGCAGCTAGCTACTGGAGAGCCACCCGTCTGGACTGGCATGCTCAGCACTGGCCTGAGTTGCCAGGGAAGCAGGTTCCCTGGGTGAGTCAATGGGGACCACAAGTCGGAGGCTGGGGAGGCAGGCCCAGCGCCCTGCACTGGTACCGCAGAGCCAGAGGGCTCGCAGGAGCTTGGAGGCATCGATGGGTTCCATGACTCGTGCACACTGCCTGGCACAGCACACTGGCGGATCCATCCCGACAGGCCGCCCCCTGAAAAGCAGGTGGACAGTCTATGGCCAGGTGGGGGTGGAGCCTTGCTAGAAGGTACTTCCCAATGGGAAGGCAGATACCAGGAAGCAGCTCACACTCAGCTGCCATCCACAGGCAAAGAAAGAGCAGCAAACGTGAGGGGAAGCTGTTTGCATTCTGAATCGCATGCAAAAAAACCAAACCAGAGAAGCTTTGAAACCTGAGCCAATTCCTCCTGCAGCTCCCTGGAGCTGTCCCAATTACTCGGCAATGAATGAGCAATTCTGCAGTGGAGTCACACGAGCACAAGGAAAGCCACCATGTGATGCCCAAATGTTCGCTGGGTCTGAGGTACCCACTTTAGGGTGATCTTGGTTTCTACGCAAGTGTCAAATTGGGGGGCACAGCTCTTCCCTGCTGTAACTTCACTGCAGCCACATTAGCAGCAAGGCCAGGATGCAGGTGCCTAAACAGAGGGGTCAGCCGGCAGTCTGCCTCAACTTTTCCTTGTTGGCCTTGGTAGCTCAGAGAGGAGGAACATGCTGCTAGAAGTCTCCTCTCTCGGCTCCAGCAGGTGCTCAGACATTGCGAGAGCTGGTGGAGGGATACAGCCCAGAGCGACTCAGCACACTGCTGCCACCTCACTTACTCCCTGCCTCAGTACTAGATTTCCACTGCGCCATCTAATGCATCTGCCTGCAGAAAAGGAAACAAATCAGTTCACCACGGACCTCGGCGGTCAGCCAGCACAGCAACATTCTGCCTGGCCTCCAGGAGGCGCCGAGGACAGAGTAGGATCTAAAGCCTCCTCTTTTCAGGGGGAGAAACAACGAACATTCCCAGATACGGACAGCTGGCCTGTTTAAGCCAGTCCATGTAGGCAGCCAAGCCCCGGTAAAACAGCAATGCCTAGCAGCTCCTGGGCCTGCACGTGCTACCTTTGGGCTGGCACCTTCCTCTCTAACCCTGAGGGCTTGGGTGACTGATGGCCATGGATCAGATCCACAGCGCCTGGAAGAGCCAGGCCGGGCAGTTTTCCCTCATCGTGCTGCCTTGTACCTCAGCTCTAGCTCGAGTGCTGCTTGGACACGCTGTCTGGGCATACGAAGGCCTGGGCGGAGAGAGTAGCTTACAAAGTATATGTCTGTGACTGGCACATCATCTTCATCCGAGGCCTGGCTGGCTGGCTCCGAGGCCTGGCTGGCTGTCTCCACCTCGATCGCAGCTGGGGCTATTGCAATGGCACAAGCTGAAGAGGCTGCCTCTCTGGGGAAGAAACAGAGAACATGAGAGCAGCTTCCTTCAGCAGAAGGAGGAACTGATCGGATCGACTTGAGGGGGGCTGAAGGGCTCAGGGGACTGCCAGTCTGGACACCAGCCGGGCTCCACAGCGCTATGGCTCAGAGCGGTTTGGGGTCAGAGCATCACTCAGCTCCCTGGGGGAGGAATCTAAGCTCTCGGGTGTCTGGTACCCAGAGCAGATCAGTGCTCATGCATCTCAAAGAGGAGGGAGCCCCTTCCAGGCCCAGCAGTACCACAGTATTAAGGGAGCAGGAAGGAATCCATTGATCATCCTTCATGTAGGAACAAATGATACGGCTAGATTCTCGCTGGAACGAATTAAGGGAGACTATGCTAGGCTGGGGAGGAGGCTCAAGGAAATTGAGGCTCAGGTGATCTTTAGTGGAATTCTGCCTGTTCCTAGAGAAGGGCAACAAAGATGTGACAGGATTATGATGATCAATAGATGGCTTAGGCAGTGGTGCTATAAGGAGGGCTTTGGGATGTATGGTCACTGGGAGGCATTTATGGACAGAGGACTGTTCTCTGTGGGGTGGATACTAGTCTAATAGGTCATATTGGAGGTATAACGTCTGTGCCAAATTGGGTAAAGAATGTGAATGAGGCCAAACAGCAAAAATTAAGATGTTTGTACACCAATGCGAGGAGCCTAGGTAACAAAAAGGAGGAACTAGAGCTATTGGTCCAGGAAGTGAAACCAGATATTATAGGAATAACAGAAACATGGTGGAATACTAGGAATGACTGGAGTACAGGTATTGAAGGGTATGTGCTGTTTAGGAAAGACAGAAATAAGGGTAAAGGTGGTGGAGTCGCATTGTATATCAAAGATGAGGTAGATTGTAAAGAAATAAAAAGTGATGGAATGGAGAAGACAGAGTCTGTTTGGGCAAAAATCACATTGGGGAAGAAAACTATCAGATCCTCCCCTGGGATAGTGCTTGGGGTGTGTTATAGACCACCAGGATCCAATTTGGATATGGATAGAGACCTCTTTAATGTTTTTAATGAAGTAAATACTCATGGAAACTGCGTAATCATGGGAGATTTCAACTTTCCAGATATAGACTGGAGAACAAGTGCTAGTAATAATAATAGGGCTCAGATTTTCCTAGATGTGATAGCTGATGAATTCCTGCATCAAGTAGTTGCTGAACCAAC